CAGGAAGGCACGTCTACCTTTAGCAAACAATATGATAATGCTGGTAAGTCCCAAGAGAAACGGGATAGCACCAATGCAGTTTAACTTTCGATGGTACTTGAAAGAAATCCAGTCACGTTAACAGAAAGGGGAAAAATTGCACCATTGGTCCCAATCTAAAGTCGAGAAGCAAGTTGGTTATTATTGTTCTGCAACAGTCCCCCAACAATGGAAATCCAAATTCTCATTTCACCGTCACATGGCCTCAATTTCTGGATACCAGCCAGAGTTAGAAAAGAAAAACTTACCTTCATAAAACTACGTAAAGATTGGCTAATTTTGGAAGGTTTCCATGCTGAGCGACTGATTCTGAAAATATAATAAAAGGCTGAAGACTAACTTGGTCATCTTGTAAATATTGGGTACCAACTCGTTACTCTTGCAATATGTTGGGACCAATTGTGCAATTTTCCGTCACAGAATGAAGCGTCAAACTAATAGAAAAATGAAAAGTTTAGTAACCCTCACCTTCGGAGTGCAAAGAGAGCGTCGCAGGTTAGAAAAGCAGCCATCACATACGACAGTTAGAGGTGCATACGCTTTCAACTCCTCACCAGATTTATTTTTGTATTGGACACCTCTAATGGTCCCACTTTCTTCAAGAAGAGACGTGACAGTCCCTTGCTCCAATTGAACACTGTCAAATAGCAAGAGACAAGGTGTAACTATCAATTGGCCTAAAGACCGGCTTAAAAAACAGTAGTGACATAAAATCTTCTGATTGGGTAAGATCCCCTGGCACCAATAAAAGAAGAAGACGCGAGTGAATACATGGGGAGAGATGCAGCTTTTTCGCGCATCCTCTGTATGAAGCGTCCATTGTGAAAGCTCCTTCCAGATACATCAGAGTGAAATTTCTCCAAAGGATAAGAAAGTCGAGTGGCTTTTCCATCCTTGAACAGAGCATAACCAAACACCTTTTGAGCATCAATTTCCTCCACGCAATCTGTACAAAAAAAATCAACTTTTCAGCAACACAAATTTGGGAGAGAAATCCATAAGTCAGTAGAGAAATTGAATAACAATCACAGATAGTTGTGTATAAACACAGCCTTGAGATATGTACAAGTTAACAACGCAGCAAGATTTACCTTCAAGTCCTAACTCAATTAGTTTGAGGTAGCCACCTGGTTGTAGAAGTTCTCCAACAATTCTGTCGGGCTCTTTCAAGTCCCTTTCAATCACATGCACCCTGCGTCCATCCTGCAAGTGGAAGTCCACAAAAAACATGAGTTCTGTGTTGGATTATGTGGAGCCAAATTATATTATTCACTTATCCATTCCTATTGAAGTTTTTCTTGTCATAAAGGTAAAATGAGAAACGCATATTTTTGCATTAGGTCGCCAGTTTCCTTATAAAAAGGAAGCCGAGGGAGATTTTTTTTAGAATAAGACGCAGGTGTGAGGAAAACTTAATAATCTCCTTTGTTATGGTAAAGCTACAAGTGAACCGCTATAAATCTATATGTTGGCATGTGGGTATATTTCGTTTTTCATTTCATTTATTTTTACTCCCGGGAAGGAAATTAGAGCTTAATGCTTAACATTTTGCAGTTGAATCTTTCATTCCCAAAACTTTCGGTCGAGACAAGTTGCAATACGAGATTATCAAGCAAGATAAACAAGATGCAATCAAATTTCAAAAATTTGATATCTTTATTCTGCTGTTTCCGTTCCTCAACATTCAAGAATCACAAGCTTAATTACAAACGAAATCGTCAATGAAATAACCAATACAAGCAAGAACCCAAAAATTAAACAAGAAAATTAGACTAAAAACCAGAAAGCCAAATGAATTTTACCTCAAAAACAATGTTAACAGTTACATTAAGCAAAAAGAATCTCTATACTAAACAAAATAATCTCAGGTAGACAGGTACCATAATTAATTATCATAAAAATAAATAACCAAGAGATCATAACACGGAAAATTAGCAAAAGCGTACCTTTCCAAGGGTGTGAGCAAGGGCAGAGCCGGCGACGCCTGCACCGACAATTATGACGTCAGCATCGACGTCGGCACCGTTCTTAGATCTGGAAATGACGGTGGTGGTGGTGACGGCTGAGGATTCTGATTCTGATTTTGTCTCTCCGTTTTTCTTGAAAACCAAACGATACAACACCACAAACCCAAAAAGAAGAGCCAAAATGGAAGCCATAAGGGTCTGATCCGCCATTTTTACCGACAATGCAGAATATCCAGAGATTAGCTCCATTGCCGGAGGAGAAGAAAGAGAATATACGACGTCGTTGTATCTTTCTCTCCACAAAGAAAGTATTATCTGTCCGTCTGTCCTCTGGTTTGTGCTTTGCTGGCTTTCTTTGCGTTTTTTTTGAAAAACAAACGTTGTTGTTGCAAGTTAACGTTGGAGTTCACCCAACAAAACAATGTATGTTTATAGAGTATTGCTTTTTGTACATGTTGCTTCACAGTCTTCTTCACAGCCTTTTGAAAAATCCGACGTGGCATTGGCTGTTGGCTGGGTAATTGTTCAAAAAATCCGGCCGCACTGCATAGACTAAAAAACCCGACCCTGACCCGTTAAAATTTCAGCTCACCCTCTTCCTAACCTAATCCCCAACTTTCCCCAACTTTCCCCCAAATCTCCCACTCCAGCCCGTTCGATCCATCCACTCTGATTCCCATCTTCAACATTCGAGCTACTGAACCCAGTCACCGGTGGATCACCCTCTTCCTAACCTAATCCCCAATTCGAGTCTAACGTAAATCCCCAACTTTCCCACTCCAGCCCGTTCAATCCAGCCACTACGATTCCCAGCTTCAACATGCGAGCTACTGAACCCAGTCACCAGTGGATCTCCGGCCTTCCCAGGTGAAGCAAAAGTTGAGACGAACGGGACGAGATTTCAAGCAGCCAAATCCAGAAGGTTTATAAATTATTACCCTTCCCCACTCCAGCCCAACAATCCAGCCACTCCGATCCCCACTCCAGCTTCAACATTCAAGCTACTGAACCCATTCGCCAGTGGATCTCCGGCCTCCCCAGCTGAAGAAAATTCTACAAGAAGCAAAAGTTGAGACGAACAGGACGAGATTTGAAGCTGCCAAAGTAAGAAGGTTTATAAATTATTACACTTTCGAAAGAGTTGAAATTTGTATAATTTTTTGTAATTGCGTTTAGAAGTTGATTCATTGTGTACAATTCTATTCCAGAATGAAGAAACTTCAGAACAATGGATGAAGTAACAACTACAGTTTTTTAGCTGCGTTTAGAAGTTGATGCATTCGCAGGGGCAAAGCCGGCACTTTTTAATAAAATGTTGAGAACAAATAAAGCATTAATACTACGTTTTTCAAATTCCTGTTTGAAAATATGATGAGCTTGGGTGTAAATAATATGAAGTTGAAATGGAATGTTTAGAGTTATAGTTTCAAATGGCACTTCATGAATTCTACTTACTTGCTTATAGTGGTAAATTTGAAAATGAGCATTGCATGTGAGTTAGTAACAATGAATATGTGTTTGCATTGATGTAGGAAAAGAAAAAAATGGAAGAATTGGATGACGAAGTATGTGTACAATCCAACGAGGAGAAGTTGATGGATAATGTAGTCAACTTGGAAGACGATAATGATAATATAGCAGGAGATGTTACGATAGTGCCTGAGGTGGGTATGCAGTTCAACGATGAAAAAGAGTTGTTCGAATTTTACAAAAAATATGCATACGAAGTAGGTTTTTCGGTTCGAAAAAGGAATTCCAAAAAGGGTGATGATGGATTACTGAGATATGTTACACTGACATGTAGTCGTGAGGGAAGACCAAGGAATATTAGCAGCGCTTCTTTGAAGCCACATCCGACAATTCAGATAGGTTGCAAAGCGAGGATAACTGCTTCCTCAGATGCTCGTGGAATATGGAAAATTTGCACGGTTGACCTTGAACATAATCATAAAACAAGCCCGTCGAAGTCCAGGTTGTATCGATGCAATCGAGAATTGAGTGCACATGTAAAACGAAAGTTAGAAGTGAATGATATGGCTGGAATTCCTTTGCACAAGAGTTACAACTCTGCAGTAGTTGAAGCTGGTGGGTATGAGAATATGACTTGCATTGAAAAGGATTGTCGAAACTATGTTGAAAATGTGAGGCGATTAAGACTAGGTGAAGGAGATGCCGCGGCAATACAATCCTACTTTTCAGAAATGCAAGCACGTTGTTCTGGGTTTTACTTTTCTATAGATTTGGACGACGAGTCACGACTTAAGAATATTTTCTGGGCAGATAATAGGTGTAGGCAAGCATATAAGGAATTTGGGGATGTCGTGACGTTTGATACCACTTACCTGACCAATAAATACGACATGCCTTTTGCCCCATTTGTTGGAGTAAATCATCACGGACAATCAACACTGCTTGGATGTGGGTTGCTATCAAATGAGGATACACATACCTTTATTTGGTTGTTCAAAACATGGTTGTTGTGTATGCACGGTCAAGCCCCTAATGGAATTATTACCGATCAAGATAGGGCTATGCAAAATGCAATTGAAATAGTGTTTCCAAATACTCGGCATAGATGGTGTTTGTGGCACATATTAAAGAAGTTGCCTGAAAAGTTTGGATATCACGTGGATAAGAACTCAATTTTTTCTTGTATACATGGATTAGTCTATGACTCGCAGTTCGTTGAAGAGTTCGAGGAAGGTTGGAGAGTGATGATTGATACGTACAACTTATCTGATAATGAATGGTTGTCCGGGTTGTATGAGAATAGGGGTCGATGGGTGCCATGTTATTTGAAAACGAGTTTTTGGGCAGGGATGTCAACGACTCAACGTAGCGAGAGTACGAATGCGTTCTTCGATGGTTATGTACATTCTAAGACATCGTTGAAGCAATTCGTTGAACAGTATGAACGTGCATTGAGAAATAAGGTTGAGAAGGAGTTTCAAGCAGATTTCAAGTCGTATTCGCAGATGGTACCGTGTGCAACGAAATATGAAATGGAAAAGCAATTTCAAGCAATTTATACCATATCCAAGTTTCGGGAATTTCAGGATGAGATTACTGGGAAGGTCTACTGCGATGTCATATCTGCATCGGATGGCTGTTCAGGGAAGATGTACCAGGTGGAGGAAGATGTCATCTATGAAGAAAAGGTGAGGAAGAAAAAATTTTGGGTGGTGTTTCGTGCAGAGGAGTGCAATATTATTTGCAGTTGTCATCTTGTCGAGTTTCGAGGTATTATGTGCAGACAGCGATATCGGTGTTGATGCGTAACGGCGTCACATCACTACCGGATAGGTACATATTGAGGAGATGGAGAAGAGATGTTTGTAGAGCCCACACAAGGGTTGCAGTGAACTACGATGGTTTAGTCAGCACTCCTGGGCAGTTGAGGTATGACAGAATGTGTGCAGAATTTGCTACGTTGGCAGACATTGCCGCAGAAGATGAGGATCGATGTCGTGCGATAGTTGATTGGATTCGGTTACAATCGAAAGAGATAATGTCTACGAATTTGATTTGTGAAAGTAATAGCATTTCCGTGCCGAGTTTGCATTTAGGATCCCAATCTAGAGCATCGCATGAAACAGGTGAAGGAAGTATACAAGATCCTCAATGCTCGAAAAGGAAGGGTGCGCCAAAGAAATGTCGTAACAAAAGCCCATTGGAGTTACAGTCTAAGAAATCGAAGGTATTTTCTTCATCTTTTTTTTGATTGCAGTCATTTATATAAACAAATAGAAAATATAAATGATCATAATATCGTACAGGCTACATCAAGTTCGAGTAAAGTACCTAGATCGAGACCGAGAAAAACCAATCTTGGACAAGATACACAGGTCGTTCAGTCAACCCAGCAATCAGTATATTCACAACTCATATTGGTAAGTAAATAGCTTTATTCGTTAAATTTATATGACTTCATTTTTTACAACATTTTCATTTCACATATCACTGACGTGTTCTATAAAATGTTTATACCATATATGAGAATTATATTTTGATATGATTCTTCCTGCAGCCATTGCATCCATTCCAACCACTGATGTCACCCACTCAAAGTGCTGTACCAGGTTGGATGTCAGGTGCCACAAATGCCATTCCTCAGGCTACCATTATTGCTGGTCCTTCCGCTCACGCTCACGCTCATGATCCAAATTCTGGAATGACGTATCAAGCAGCTGGTATTGGAATGGACTGTCAACTAGATTGTACTGATTTGCAGCTAGATTGTACTGATTTGCAATTATAAGTTGTGTTTATTTCAGATTGTAATGACATGTTGATGACTTATTAATGTGGCCAATTTTTTCTACCTAACTTATGATGGCTTTTATGTTTGTAAATATCTCATTTATCCGCAATTTCATTTCACATATGGATTGAAGACCAAACCCTCAGCTCCCATCTTAGACATGTAACAAATAGCTAAAAAATTTAACATATTGGAATATTGATAATGGACGTCCCATGTTTTTGTCAGTATGCACAAGCATGGCTTGAAGCCTTCAACATTAGAAATTTGACTACACACTTGAAGTCTACAAACTACTACATATTTCATTTTCACGTTAAAATTAACATTGACATGTCCAAACTACTTCAATTCTATTACATCGAATTTTAGTCACAAGCATCCGAAACTCTTTTCCCCTTACACATTTTTATGTTGAGGGAAATCTCCAAGTCTTTCTCATCCGTTAGCTTGGCAAGAGTTTTCAACATACGCGACAAATCATCGACCGGCTCACCTCCGTTTGTAATGCCACTAGATTCACCGTCATCATGCAATGGACATATTTCGTCGGGATCATTTTTACACCATTTAAAGTACTTGCAGTCGCGAGTACAACAATGAAACAATAAGCCTTTATGTTCATTGTTTTTTTCCACCTCCATCCATTTGATGTAGCCCACACCACAATTTGGGCATTTTCTTTTTTTTGGGCATTCCGGCAGCATATGTCCAGCGTGTCTACAACAATGACAGATTCCCCTATTCTTGCCTGCCATCGAAGTAATCTAGTTCAACCACGTAAAAGAACCACATCAATATAACACATATTCATTGAATTAATCTTCACAGTTCAACAATGACAATTACATAAAATGTAGTCAACTCGTAAAATCCATTTCCCCCTGTATTTTCACATTTCTGTGCATTTTTCAAACACAGGGCAATCTCTGATTCGAGCACTCATCATCGAATTTGGAAAAAGAGATCTCAATTTCCGAATCAAGAA